ACAACCCCCCCCTCCCCCCCTCCCACCCACTACCTCACCAACGCCCCACCTTCTCCCTCCGCCCGCAGCTCGTCGGGAAACTCGAGGGCGAGAACGGGCCAGAGAACGTGACCCTGAGGGACGTCTGCATCAAGCCCCTCGCGCCGCAGGAGGACGACTGCCTGATCCAGAGCGTCGTCAACTACTGGCAGAACGACCCCGAGGAACTGCAGAAGGATATCGACGAGGGCGACTTCGAATTTGCGCGCCATTTTATCTCCTGCGTCAGGTATGGGTGGTGTTGTTAGAAGTGGTGTTGTTATTATTGTTGTCGTCGTTATTGTTGTCGTCGTTTGTTATTGTGTTGTTATTTGTATGTTATTATGATTATATTGCATTAATATCATTATTATTTTATATTATTATTATTATCATTATCATTGTTATTATCATTATTATTATTATATTCTATGGTTATAATTATTATCATTATCATCATTATTATTATCAATATTATCATCATTATTGTTATTATGTTATCATCACTGTTATGATTATTATCATCATTATTATTGTTATTATTGTTATCATTGATATCTTTATGATTAATATTATTATCTTCATCCTCCTATTACTTCTCATTATCTTCATGAAAATGATTATTGTTGTAATCATTATTGATAGTCATTATGAAAGTACTGTTACTATTACCGCGATCATCATCATCAGCATCATGACTTGTTTTATTGTTAAAATAATTTGATAATCATTATCATCTTGGAAGGTTGACATCACAAACATGACAACAGTGCCATCACCCAGCGCCTCACACTGTCTTGCCCCGACACCCAAGTACCTACCCCCCCCCCCTCTCCCCCTGTTCCCCTGCAGCAACCCCGTCCAGCTATCTCCTGACTTGTGCCTGGGGTCCTACGGCGGCCCCATCTTCCCATACACCGCCCTCGGAGGCTTCCTGAAGGAGGACGACCTCATCTCCGACAGCCCCTCCTACTGGGAGTCGACGGCGCTGGTCATCACCATCCTCCTGGCGAATCAGAACGACAAGTCGCTTCTCGGACCTGCCTTGGCGTGGGAGGAAAGGTCAGTCTTTTCCAACCACATACAAGCATACACACACACACACACACAAGCACACGCACGCGGACACACACACGCACATGCACACACTCACACACACACACATATACATTCTTCTCTCTGCTCACACATCCACCTCACCTCTCTTTCTCTTTCTCTCTCTCTTCTCTTCTCTCTCTCTCTCTCTCTCTCTCTCTCTCTCTCCCTCCCCTCTCCCTCTCCCTCTCTCTCTCTTCTCCCTCTCTCTCTCTCTCTCCTCTCTCTCTCTCTCTCTCTCTCTCTCTCTCTCTCTCTCTCTCTCTCTCTCTCTCTCTCTCTCTCTCTCTCTCTCTCTTCTCTCTCTCTCTCTCCTCTCCCTCTCCCTCTCCCTCTCTCTCCCTCTCCTCCTCTCTCTCTCCCTCTCTCTTCTCTCTCTCTCTCTCTCTCTCTCTCTCTCTCTCTCTCTCTCTCTCTCTCTCTCTCTCTCTCTCTCTCTCTCTCTCTCTCTCTCTCTCTCTCTCCTCACTCTCACCCAACGCCCCTCCTCCACCAGGTTCCTCGAGTACATGAAGGAGATCGTGTCGGACGGGAACCTCACCCTCAACATGGACATCGCCTACAACGCCGAGCGAGGGATCGAGGACGAGCTCGCGAGGGAGAGCATGAACGACCTCCTCACGATCCTCATAAGCTACCTCATCATGTTCGCTTACGTGGCCATCGCCCTTGGGAACGTGTCCTCCGAGTGCCGACGGCTCTTTGTGAGTTGGCGGACTCCTTTTCTCCCTTTTTCTTGTCCTTCCTGTTTCGTTTCGGTATTTCTTTTGGTATAGGGTGACGAGGGGAATAAAGGGTGCCATTTCCTTTTTTTTTTTGCGTTATTTCTTTTGGTATAGGGTGACGAGGGGAGTAAAGGGTGCCATTTTCCTCCTTTCTTATTTTATTATTATTATTTTTTTTTGCTTCGTTATTTTGGTATAGGGTGACGAGGGGAATAAAGAGTGCCAATTTCTTTTTTCTTCTTCTTCTCTTTTACTATTTTATTTATTCATTTATTATTTATTTTGGTATAGGTTGACGAGGGGAATAAAGGGTGCCATTTGCTGCCTGTTTCTTATTCTTCTTTTTTCGCTTCATTATCTACTTTGATATAGGGTGACGGGAAGAATAAAGGGTGCCAATTTATACCTTTCTCTTGCTATCATATTTATGCTTCATTATCTATTTTGATATAGAGTGACGAGAAGAATAAAGGGTGTCATTTTCTACCCTTTTTCTTGTTCTTCTTTTTTACTATTCTATTTATTTATTTATTATTAATTTTGGTGAGTGACGAGAAGAATAGTGTTCCATTTTCTACCCTCTTTCTTGTTCTTTTTTGGCGTTATTATTTATTGTTTTGAGGTAGGATGAATAGAAGAATAAAGGGTGCTTATAAATCTATCGAATTACTGATAATAAATCTAAATGAAGAGGAAAGAAAAAACGAACAAAGATTATAAAATCAGAGAAAAAAATATCTATCCTATTGCACAGAAACCGTAAAGAAAGATGAAAATCCTGCATAGATTTCACTAACGTTCTCCATCACCATTTTATCATTATCATCATTATCCCCTCTGTTACTTTATTTACCTCATTATCTTTATTTGCCTCATTATCTCACTCTCTTTGTTTATCTCAATATCTTTCTTTATCTCATTATCCCCCTTTTTATTTTGTTTATCTCATTATCTCATTATTTTATCCATCATCATTATCCCCGTTGTTATTTCTTTTATCTCATTATCTCATTATCTTTATTCATCTCATTATCCCCTCAGTTATTTAATTCATCTCATTATCTCATTATATTTATTCATCTCATCATCCCCTCAGTTATTTAATTCATCTCATTATCTCATTATATTTATTCATCTCATCATCCCCTCAGTTATTTAATTCATTATCTCATTATATTTATTCATCTCATCATCCCCTCAGTTATTTAATTCATCTCATTATCTCATTATATTTATTCATCTCATCATCCCCTCAGTTATTTAATTCATCTCATTATCTCTATTCATCTCATCATCCCCTCAGTTATTTAATTCCTCTCATTATCTCATTAATTTGTCTCATTATCTTTAAATTATCTTTAAAATTATCTTTACTTATCTTTATCTTCTATCCCTCGACCTCAACAGATCGAGAGCAAGATCATGCTGGCCCTCGGAGGCGTCACCATCGTCATGCTATCGGTCTTCGCTTCTCTCGGCTTCTACGGCTTCGTCGGAGTGCCGGCCACGCTCTTCGTTATGGAGGTGAGGGGGAGGGAGAAGGGGAGGGAGAGGGAGAGGGGGGAGGGAGGAAGGAGAAGGGGGAGGAGGAGGAGAAGGGGAGGGAGGAGGGGGGGGAGAGGGGAGAGGAGAGGGAGGTTTCGTCGGAGTGCCGGCCACGCTCTTCGTTATGGAGGTGAGGGAGAGGAGAAAGGGGGAGGAGAGAAGGGGGAGGGGAAAGGAGAGGGGGGAGAGGGAGGGGGGAGGAGGACGAAGGAGGGAGAAGAAGGAGGGGAGGAGGGGAGGAAGAGGGGGGAGAGGGAGGGAGAAGGGAAGAGGGAGAGGGGAAGGAGGAGAGGGGAGGTAGAGGGAGATGGGGAGAGGGGTAGAGGGGAGAAGAGGGGAGAGGAGGGTTTCGTCGGAGTGCGGCCACGCTCTTCGTTATGGAGGTGAGGGAGAGGGGGAGGAGGGGGGGAGAGTAGAGGAAGGGAGAGGAGAAGGGGGAGAGGGAGAGGGGGTGTAGAGGGAGAAGGGGGGAGGAGAAGGGAAGAGGGAGGAGAGAAGGAAGAGGAGAGGGAAGGAGGAGAGGGGGAGGTAGAGGGAGATGGGGGAGGGAGGAGAGGGGAAGGGGGGAGAGGGAGAGGTTTCGTCGGAGTGCCGGCCACGCTCTTCGTTATGGAGGTGAGGGAGAGGGAGAAGGGGAGGGAGAGGTAGAGGAGGGGAGAGGAGAAGGGGGAGAGGGAGGGGGGGTGGTAGAGGGAGGGGGAGGTAGAGGGAAAGGAGAAGGGGAGGGAAGAAGAGGGGGAGAGGAGGGAGAAGGAAGAGGGGAGAGGGGAAGGGGAGAGGGGGGAGGTAGAGGAGATGGGGGAGGGGGAGGTAGAGGGGAGAAGAGGGGAGAGGGAGAGGTTTCGTCGGAGTGCCGGCTACGCTCCGTTTATGGAGGTGAGGAGAGCGGGAGGGAGAGAGGGAGGGAGAGGAGAGGGAGAGGAGGAGGGTGGAAGGGGAGGGAGAGTAGAGGGGAAGGGGAGGGGTGTAAGGGGGAGGGAGAAGGGGGAGGGGAGAGGGGAAGAGGTAGAGGAGAAGGGGAGAGCGGAGAGGGGGAGGAGAGGGAGAGGGGGGAGGGAGAAAGGGAGGAGAGGGAGAAGAGGGAGAGGAAGGGGGTGAGGAGGAGAAGAAGGAGAAGGAGAGGGAGAAAGAGAGAGAGGGAGAGAGAGAGAGAATGAGAGAGAGAGAGAAAAAAAAGATAGTACATAAGGAACCACCAAATCTATGGTAGAGTATAAACCCAAAGCGAGAAGAGGAAAAATTTATCTCAAATCAAAACCAAAACAGAAGAAACACGCATATGCCCCCCCCCCAAAAAAAAAAAAAAAAAAAAAAACACATGCAATCAATGAATTCATCTTTCAAGCCCTTCCCAAAAGCACCTACTTAACCCCCCTCCTCCGCCCACAGGTAATCCCGTTCCTGGTGCTGGCCGTGGGCGTGGACAACATCTTCATCCTGGTGCAGACGTGGCAGCGGGAGCCCCGTCAGGAGGGCGAGAGCGTCGAGGACCACGTGGGCCGCGTGGTGGGCAAGGTGGCCCCGTCCATGCTGCTCTCCACGTGCGCTGAGGCCCTCTGCTTCTTCCTCGGTGGGTAGGGGGGTCGAGGGGTGTGGAGGGAGGGAGGGGGAGAGGAAGGAAAGGGGGAGCGGGAGGGGGGAGGGAAAGGAGGGACAGGAAGGGGATGGAGGAGGGGCGGGGTGGAGGGGAGGGGAGGGGAGGGGAGAGGAAGGAAAGGAAGTGACAAGAAGGGATGGAGGAGGGGGGCGGGAGGACGGGAGGGAAGGAGGGAAAGGAGGGGACGGGAGGGGACAGAAAGGGATGGAGGGGACGGGAGGGGGTAGAGAGAGAGAGGAGAGTCAGGAAGGGGTGGAGGAGGGGACTGAGAGAGAGAGAGAGAGAGAGAGAGAGAGAGAGAGAGAGAGAGAGAGAGAGAGAGAGAGAGAGAGAGAGAGAGAGAGAGAGAGAGAGAGAGAGAGAGAGATTGAGAAAGAGAAATAAAGAAAGAAAGATCAAGACCAAGAAAGAACCCCCCCCCCAAAAAAAAAAAAAAAAACTCTCCGATTCCCCTGAAACTACATTCGTCCCCCTGACCTCGGCTTCGGCTTCGCAGGAGGCCTTTCGGACATGCCCGCCGTCTACGCCTTCGCCCTCTACGCCGCCCTCGCCCTCGTCATCGACTTCTTCCTCCAGATGACCTGCTTCGTGGCTCTCCTGACCCTCGACGCCAAGAGGGTTGAGGTGAGGTCGCTATTTTCTGGGTCTTGTGTATATTATGATGGAATAATGATAATGATGATAAGGATGATGATAATAATGGTAGGATTGATGATGATGGTATCATGACATCATCATAACCGTTATTTTTATTTTTACTATTTTTATCATTATCGTTATGATTTCAGTTTTATTATATTATATAATATCAGTTTTTATTATCATTATCATAATATCAGTTATCATTATTATCATTATAATTATTATCATTATTATTATGATAGTTTATCATGATATTATTATCATTATTATTTTAACAGTATTATTGTCATTATTATTATAATTTATTATTATCATTATTATTATATCAGTATTTTTGTCATTATTATTAATGTCAGTATGATTATCATTTTTATTATAATGTCATATTTTATCATTTTTCATCATCATTCCTTATCATTGTTATTACATTATGAGTACTACATTATTTCATTATCATTTCTCATTATCATCATATTCCTTCTCATTATCATCAACATATTTCTCATTATCACTATCATCATATTTCTTATCATTATTATTATCATTATCACCATCGTTTCTTTCCTTCTTTCTTTACAGTCAAACAGATGGGACATTTGCTGTTGCATCGAAGGGGAAAAGCCAGAGTCCAAGAAACAAGAGGAAACCGTGTGCTTCAAGATCTTCCAGCATGTCTACGCTCCCTTCCTCCTCAAGGTATGGAGGGAGAAGGGGAGAGAAGGGGAGGAAGGAGAGGGGGGAAGGGGGAGGGAGGGGAAGGGGAGGGGAAGGGGAGGGGGAGGGGAGAGGGGGAAGGGGGGGGGAAGGGGAGGGGGAAGGGGAAGGGGGAAAGGGGAAGGGGGAAGAGGAAGGGGAAGGGGAAGGGAAGGGGGGAGGGGAATGGGAGGATAGGAGAGGGAGATAGAGATAGAGAGAGAGAGAGAGAGAGAGAGAGAGAGAGAGAGAGAGAGAGAGAGAGAGAGAGAGAGAGAGAGAGAGAGAGAGAGAGGAGAGAGAGAGAGAGAGAGAGAGAGAGAGAGCAGGCAGGCAGGCAGATAGATAGACTGACTGATAGATAGATTGATTGTTAAATTCTTTTCCTCGGCGAACATTCCCTCTTGCAAATATATCAAAAGTACATTTGCGGCCGAAAGAAGCGGTGGCAAGAAATTCTTTTGCCTAATCGGTAATTTTCTATATTACCTTCGCCTCTCCGATATCGACGATTTTTGGTATCGTTGGATTCCTCTCACTCTGTACAATCCAAATATGTAGGTTTTATTGCGCGGAAACCCCCCGTTAGCGGCAAACTTGGCCCCGATAGCAGGGGCGACGATGTCGTAGCGGCGGGCGTAATATAGAAAATTACCCTAATAATATAACCCACAGTGAAAATAACCATGGTTATACAGAGCGAGGCGACCCCCAACCCCCGCCGAGGACACAAAATTTCCCCCACGTATTCACGGCAGGATAGAGCGCACGCGAACTAGATGCATCGAAAGAGGCGCAAAACCCGCCGAGCCGACGAGGGCGGGTCACCGCCGCTCTTCTGTTCATGGTATACCTTGTTCATCCTGATTATACTACAATCGTATCTGTATACAATGCTGACTATGTCAAGGTTAGTTTGCTGATTCAGTGGGAATGTTACAAGGTAAATGTAATACGTCCGCCGCTCCGAGATCGCCGATAACTGTGTAACGCTCTAGCCTGCCGGGAATACGTGGTGGTTTTCTCGCGGGGTTGGGGGCGGTAGCCCCCCCAGGGGGGGTCGCAGGGGGCACAGCCCCCTGCAACGGAAAGTCATGTGAAGAACCATGGTTATTTTCACTGTGTTATATTTATTATTGTTTATTTTCCCCTGCTATTGGAGCCAAGTTTGTCGCTAACGGGGGGTTTCCGCGCAATAAAAACTATATATTTGCAATGCGGACAGTGAGAGGAATCCAAAGATACCAAAATCGTCGATATCGGAGAGGCGAAGGTAATATAGAAAATTACCGCCTAATCAATTAATATATTGACGAAGTATTGAATATTTTAAAATGGTGAATATATGTCACTTCGTAACGTAAAATAATAATGATGAATAAATCTATAAAAAAGAACTTGTCGGAAAGGCCATCCCTTGTCGACATTTTGTGCCACGTGGCCTCGTCTGGGATTTTGAGATTGAGACCCTTGTTTCGATCCGTTCAAATTGGCTCAACTTTCATAGTGTGCACTTTTTTATAGTAAATATGAAAGTGGCAGTGGTAAAAAACATGACACAGTGGAGGAATATCAATAAAAAAAATCATTATCAGACATTTACCAGCTACGAATATACCAAAAAGTCAAAGCATTCGGTCACAGAGAAAGGAGCCAAAGACTTCGACGAGGTTTATTTCATGTACTTGTTTTGCTTTTCACTTAATCAAGAAAGGCACTTGAATCTATTCCGGAGTCAAGGAAGATGTCCGATATTATTTTACAGATTTGTTTACATTCGTGTCTCTAGGAGTCACAGCTTGCTGCCGTGTGTCCACTGAAGAAAAGGCCTATAGATAGATAGAATGATGGACAGAGACAGACAGGCAGCTAGGTAGATAGGTAGATAGACAGAAAGATAGGTAGGTAGATAGGTAGATAGATAGAAAGATAGGTAGATGGGTATATGATTAGATAGATAGATTGTGATAGATAAATAACCTCTCCGATAGGGACTCGAACCCTCATTCTGGCAGACAGGTAACTGCAGGCAGGTAACTGCAAGGTAATGTCTATGGAAGCTAGTTAGCTTCTAGTTGCACACTCCTTTTACAGTGGGTCGCGTAGCTCACTGGTACAGCATTCGTCTTGCAGTAACCTGCCTCATATCAATGCGGTAGTGCATTATTCCATCTTTCATTAAATACACCTCAGGATTTCTGATTTCAGATTTGAAATGCTCTATCACTATCTACCGAGTGCCCACGGGGAGTATGTGTAAAACCGCTATCCTTACTCATGTATGAGTAGATGGTAATGTTTATGGAAGCTAGTTAGCTCCTAGTTGCACACTTCTTTTAGTTACTTGCCTGTAAGAGTTGAGGTTCGTGAGGTTATTCGTTCTTCTTTTAATTACTTGCCTGTAAGAGTTGAGGGTTCGAGTTCTCTTTCATAGATAGATAAAGAGATAGATAAATAAATTGATAGATAGAAAGACAGAGATACATAGATAGATAGATGATCATATATACAGATAGATAGACAAAGAAACAGACAAGGTAGACAAGACAAGACAAAATACAAACGAACAGGGAGACAGAGAAATGCATACACACTATCCATCCCTACTTCACCTGTCGCTTCTTCCCTTTCCCCAAGGACATCGTTCGCATGATCGTGTGCATCCTGTTCCTGGGCGTGTTCTTGGCCTCCCTCGCCCTCACGCCCAAGATCGCCGTCGGGTTGGAGCAGGACCTCTCCATGCCTGAAGACTCCTTCGTCCTCAAGTACTTCAAGGTAAGAAGGGAAGGGAGAAGAAGAAAGAGAAGGGAGAGGAAGGGGGGGGGGGAGAGAAGGAGAAAGAAGGGGGGGGGGAGAAGGAGAGGGGAAAAGAGAGGGAGGGGGGAGATGGAGAGGGTGAAAAGATAGGGAGGAAGGGGGAGATGGAGACGGGAAAAGAAAGGGAAGGGTGAGATGGAGAGGATAAAAAGAGAGGAAGGAGGTGAAGGAGAGGGGGAAAGAGAAGGAGAGGGGATGAAAAGAGAGGGGGAAGATGGAGAGGGTGAAAAAAGAGGGAGAGGGGGAGATGGAGACAGGAAAAGAGAGGGAAGGGAGAGATGGAGAGGATAAAAAGAGGGGGAAGGGGGAAGATGGAGAGGGTGAAAAAAAGAGGAGAGGGGGAGATGGAGACGGGAAAAGAGAGGGAAGGGGAGAGATGGAGAGGATAAAAGAGAGGAAGGAGGTGAAGGAGAGGGGAAAAGAGAGAGAGGGGGAGGAGAGGAAGAGAGAGAGGGGGGGAGAGGAGGGAAAAGAGAGAAGGGGGAGAAGGAGAGGGAGAGAGGGAGGGGGAGATGGAGAGGATAAAAAGGGAGGGAGGGAGGAGAAGGAAAGGGGAAAAGAAAGGGAGGGGGGAAATGAGAGGGTAAAATGAGAAAGTAAAATGAGAGGGAGGAGGAGAAGGAGAGGGAAAAAGAGATTACGGGGGGAGGGAGAAAAAGTGGGATGGAGAGGGAAAGGAAGAGGGAAGGAGAAAGAAAATGAGAGAGAGAGAGAGACAGTTGAGAAAGCAGATGGGGAGAGACAGAAAGAGAGGAGCTTGGTAGAGAAAAGCAACCACAAGGAAAAAAAGACCAAATTCTTTGCGTCTTTTCCTTACCCTCTGGCCTTTAAACCCCTACTTCCCCAGGTGTGGTGTTTCTGTCATTTGAATAAATGGAATAAATTGTTCAGCGACCCATTTTCTATGACGACGCTTACTAAGCTCAAAGAATATCTTTACGAATATCCGTTTTCTATGACGACACGCTCAAATCAAGGGATTACTTTACGAATATCCATTTTCCTTGACGACACGCTCAAATCAAATAATAACTTTACGAATATCCATTTATATGACGACATATACTCAGATCAAATAATACCTATACAAATATCCGTTTTCTACGACGACACGCTCAAATCAATCAAAGAATAACTTTACAAATAACCATTTCCTATGAAGACATATACTCAGATCAAATAATACCTTTACAAATACCCATTTTGTGCTTCGTTCTGCCCTCACAGTACCTCAACAGCTACCTCTCCGTCGGCCCCCCGGTTTATTTCGTGATGACTGAAGGCTACAACTTCAGTGACTTCGACGAGCAGAACCTGGTGTGTCAAGTGTCCGGTTGCAAGGACGACTCCATGCTCCAGCAGATATTCATCTCTTCCCTAAAACCCGAAAGGCGAGTTGCACATGGGGGGTCATCACGTGAGGGGGGGGGGGAGAGGCATGTTGTATGTGGTTTATGTGGGGTTGTGTTGGTCTGTCTGTTCTCTGTTATCTGGTGCTTTATTTTTTTTTTTAAACATCTATCTTCTCCCCTTTCTCGTTTTTTTCTTTCTTTTTCTGTCTGTCTGTGGGTTCGTCTGTCTTTTGGCTCTCTGTCTGTGTGTATGATTGTTTGTTTGTATTTGTTTGTGTGTGCGTGTGTTTGTTTATCTCTCTGTCTGTTTGTCTGCCTCCCTTCTTGCCTACTTTTCTACCTCGCCCTCCTTCTCTCTCTCTCCCCCTCTTTTTGTCTCTCTCCTCTTCCTCCGTCTCTTTTTCGGGCTGTGATCCCCTCCCTCTCTCATTTACTCTCTCACTCACTCCATTTATCTTTCGTTCCAGGTCGTACATAGCTTCCGGCGCTTCGTCTTGGCTCTCCCCTTACTTCACGTGGCTCAAAGACAACGTGGGTTCGGGCTTCACCATCGGTGCCTGCTGTCGGCTGGACAGCGATGGCAACTTTATCAACTCCTCGGGTAAGCTTTTTTTTTTTTTTTTTGGGGGGGGGGGGAGTTGTAGGCCGAGTAGAGGCGCCAGGAGTGAAATTCATTGTGATTTCTCTTGTGTGTACATACAAATAGAGATAAAAGTGTAAATTCTGCAAAGTTAGAATATGACTGACGCTGGGCGAAATGAGGTATACGACTGATAAAGATATATAAATAGATAAAGAAATAAAGAAAGAAATATCTCTATTTATGCACCCATGTATTAATCCAAGATTTTGCAGAAAGCCTTTATGTCCACAAGGATAGAGGAAGGAAAATCAAGAATGAACAACAATGCAGATAATTTGACAACCATGACTCAGACATGATTCGTTTCCTCTCCCTCCGCCAGCGTCGTATGACATGGACACCGCGACGACGTGCATGCAGCCAGGCGACTTCGAGGACGGTCGCCCTCACCCCAATCTCTTCATGAAGCACCTCGAGGACTACTTGAGCGACAACCCCCATGACACCATGTGCCCCTCCGCCGGTCACCCAGCCTATGGAGACGCAGTCAGGGTGCTCGAGAGGCCGTCAGGAGAGACCTACGTCGGCGCCAACTACTTCATGGCGTACCATTCCATCCTGAAGACGTCCGAAGACTTCATCAATGCCATGGACTTCGCGTACCAACTGAGCGCGAGCATCACCGACTACCTGCAGAAGTACAGCAGTTTCACGAAGGACATCGAAGTGTTCCCGTACAGGGGTCGGTGGGTGGGGAGGGGGGGAGGGGGAGGGGACTCTGAGTCGTGGGAGAGGAGGAATATCGAACTGAAAAAAAGGAATTAATTCGAGTATTTAAAAAAGTGACTAAGTGACTACGATTCTGGGTCTATTAAAAATTTAAAAATCGGGTCTAGTGAAGCATTTTGCATGCAATGTCAATTCGTTTAACTCTTTGAACCCAAACACGAACGCACGCACACACACACACGCACAAGTGTATATATGTGTGTTTCTGTTCGTGTTATAAATGAAACAGATAAAGATGAACTTCTCCTCATGGCAGCATCTTCTACGTGTACTACGAGCAGTACCTGACGATGTGGGCTGACACGGGCGTCAGCCTGGGCGTGTCCGTGGCCTCCGTGTTCGGCGTCCTGCTCCTGCTGACCTTTGACCTGGCCTCCTCGATCATCGTGCTGGTCACCATCGCCATGATCGTCGTCGACATGATGGGCATGATGTTCTGGTGGAACATCTCGCTCAACGCCGTCTCGCTCGTCAACCTGGTCATGGTGCGTCGCTGGGCGTGTGTGTATGTGCGTGTGTGTGTGTTTGGGCGAGCGAGCGTGTGTGTGTGTGTGTGTGTGTGTGTGTGTGTGTGTGTGTGTGTGTGTGTGTGTGTGTGTGTATGTATGTATGTGTGTGTGTGTGTGTGTGTGTGTGTGTGTGTGTGTGTGCATGTGCGCGCGCGTGTGTGCGTGTATATGTGTTTTTATGTGTGTGTATGAATGATGAGTGTACAGTATATCCAACGTTTTACTATCTTATCCCGATAATAACAATACTCCTAACGATACCTAAAACGATCGTGAAAACAAGAAGCCAATCACTAACACCTGTCTTATCGCTCCTATTCCAAAGGCGGTGGGCATTTCCGTAGAGTTTTGCAGCCACGTGACCCACGCTTTCGCCACCTCGGTCCAGCCCACGAGATTATTACGAGCCCAAGAAGCACTTTCTACCATGGGCTCCTCAGTAAGTGCCTTTATATATACATGGACATAATACATACATCTATATTGTATCTATCTATCTATTCCTCTATCTATTTATCTATCAATTTATATATCTACCTACCTAATTTATATATCCATCTGTCTATCTATCTACCTATATATCCATATATCTATCCATCTATCTATCTATCTATCTATCCATCCATCTATCTATCTACCTATATATCCATCTATCTATCTATCTATATATCCATCTATCTATCTACCTATCTATCTATCAATCTATCCATCTATCTATCCCTCTCTTTATCTATCTACATACATATCCATCCTCTCGCTCCCCCTTTCGCCTCATCCACTCATCTTTTTCGCCCCATCTCTAACCACCCCCCTCTCTCTCCTTCCCTCCCCTCCCCCCCATCTCTAACCACCCCCCTCTCTCTCCTTCCCTTCCCTCCCCCCCCATCTCTAACCACCCCCCTCTCTCTCCTTCCCTCCCCTCCCCCCCATCTCTAACCACCCCCCTCTCTCTCCTTCCCTCCCCCTCCCCCCATCTCTAACCAACCACCACCCCTCTCTCTCCTTCCTCCCCTCCCCCATCTCTAACCACCCCTCTCTCTCCTCCCTCCCCTCCCCCCCATCTCTAACCACCCCCCCTTCTCCTCCCTCCCCTCCCCCCCATCTCTCCTCTCTCTCCTTCCCCCCTCCCCCATCTCTAACCACCCCTCTCTCTCCTTCCTCCCCTCCCCCCCATCTCTAACCACCCCCTCTCTCTCCTTCCCTCCCTCCCCCCCATCTCTAACCACCCCCCCTCTCTCCTTCCCTCCCCTCCCCCCCATCTCTAACCCCCCTCCTCTTCCTCTCTCCCCCCCATCTCTAACCACCCCCCTCTCTCCTTCCCCTCTGCCTATCCCCCCCCCCACCAGGTGCTGTCTGGCATCACCCTGACCAAGTTCGGCGGCATCATCGTGCTCGGCTTCGCTCAGTCGCAGATCTTCAGGGTGTTCTACTTCCGCATGTACCTCGGGATGGTGATCATTGGGGCGGCGCACGGCCTCGTCTTCCTGCCGGTGCTGCTGTCGCTCTGCGGTGAGTGGGTGAGGGGGGGGGAGGGGAAGTTGGAGGGGAAGGGAGGGGTGGAGGGAGGGGTGGATGGAGGGGGGAGGGGGAAGGGAGGGGGTGGAGGGAGAAGAGGTGGAGAGGGGTGGGGAGAAGGGGGAGGGGTGGGGGGTGGAAGGAGGGGGAGGAGGTGGAGGGGTGGAAGGGAAGGGGAGGGTGGTGGAGAAGGGGGAGGGGAAGGGGAAAGGGGTGGGGGAGGGGGAGGAGGGGTGGAGGGGTGGAAGGGAGGGGTGGAGGGGGAGGGAGGGGTGGTGGAGGGGGTGGAGGGGATGGGGTGGGAGGTGGTGGGAGAAGGGTGGGTGGGGATGGAAGGGTGGGTGGAGGGGGTGGGGAGGGGTGGAGGCGGGGGGTTGGGGTGGATGGAGGGAGGGAAGGGGTGGGGAAGGATAGTGGGGTAGGGAGAGGGATGGGTCGAGAGGGAATGGAGGGTGGGAAGCATAGGGGAGGAGGTGGGTGGGGAGGGATAGTGGGGTAGGGGAGAGAGATGGATGGAAGGGTAAAGCGAGAGGGGGGGGGTGGAGGTTGAGGTGGTCAGTTGTTAGGAACTGGGCATCTACGTGTGGCGTCTTTGTCTGTATGCCGTGGTGTTCGTCAACGCATACGCACAAGAACAAGGAAATTCGTAAACACACGCACATATGCATATTACCACACGCATAATACACCTAAACACATACACGACACGTTGGCACAAAAACATATTTGAATATACAACACCCTCAACTCTCCAACTACTCCCTACGACTTCCACCACCACAACCACCACCACATCGTCACCTCCACCAACACCATCACCAAAACCCGCAACACCACCACCATCACCGCCATATCACCCCTTCCACTGCCATCTCCACCATCTCCACCACGATCACCACCACCACCAACACCATCCCCACCATCCACGTCCACCAAACACCTCCAAACACTATCACCAAACCCCGCAAGCACCCACTATCACCGCCATATCACCCCCTCCACCACCTCCGCCACGACACACCAACACCATCACCACACCGCCACAATCTCCACCTCAACACACCACCTCACCAACACTATCACCAAACCCCGCAAGCACCACCACCATCACCGCCATATCACCCCTCCACCACCTCCGCCACGACCACCACTAACACCATCACCCCACCGCACCATCTCCGCCTCCAACACCACCATCTCCACCTCCACCTCCACCAACACCAACATTACCACCTCACACCACCATCCCACCACCACCACCGCTATATCACCCCCTCCACCACCATATCCACCACCTCCACAATCTCCACCACGACCTCCACCACTTCCCCCATCCACGAAAACCTTGACAACCGCTCCGCCATTTTCTCTTCCTCACATTCCCATTTCCTTTCAGGTCCCAGACTCAACCGCGTGCTGGCGAACGAGGCGAAGGAGAGAGAGAATAAAGGAGAAAAAGAAAAACATGGAGAAGCCAACATCGGGTTCCAGTCTGATCTGCACTTGTAGATAGAGAATGAGGAATAAAGAAGAGGAGAAGAGAGACAGAGGAAGAAGAGCCGGAGCTTGAGAGACGGAGATAGACAAAGCGATAAAGAAAGGGGAAGAGAAATGTTTGAGGAGGAGAGTAAGGTAGAGAGAGAGGAAGCCAAAGATAGCAATGGAGAGAAAGAGAAGGAGAGAAAGATAGAGACAGTTGAAAACAAGGGAATAGGGGAGGAAAGGAGAGAGAGAAAGGTTGGTTACAAGTTGACAGACAGACAGGCAGACAGACAGACAGACAGACAGACAGACAGACAGACAGATAAACAGACAAATAGACAGACGGACTGAGAAGGACAGAAACAGAGGAAATCAATAAATAAAAGTATTATTCATGGAAAATATCAATTTTGGAAGTAGTGTGAGTGAATGACAAAAAAAGAGCAAAGCAACAAGAAATCACAACTAATCCCTTGGAATTATTGAGAAAAGAAAAATATGTGGATTTTATGATTTTTGTTTCATATTTCCTTGGATAAACGAAATTTCATCCAACATTTGCTTTTGTACATTTGAGGTAAAACATGGAAAGAAAAACAGAGAGAGAGAGAGAGAGAGAGAGAGAGAGAGAGAGAGAGAGAGAGAGAGAGAGAGAGAGAGAGAGAGAGAGAGAGAGAGAGAGAGAGAGAGAGAGAGAGAGAGAGAGAGAGAGAGAGAGAGAGAGAGAGAGAGAGAGAGAGAGAGAGAGAGAGAGAGAGAGAGAGAGAGAGAGAGAGAGAGAGAGAGAGAGAGAGAGAGAGAGGAGAGAGAGAGAAGAAGAGAGAGAAAGAAAGAAAGAAAGAAAGAAAGAAAGAAAGAAAGACTGGCCTTCCTCCCCATCCAAAAAGGAAAGGAAAAGGAAAAGTGAAAATTGAAGAAAGCCTGAAAAGCCCTCTCCTTTGCGAGCCATCATGAAAAGGCTCTTTCTGGTGCTACTTGCAACATGTGCAGTGATGTTGCTGGGAGTGCAATCGTGCATTTAGGTGATTCTTATTATTATGAATACTTAGTTTATGATAATGTATTTACCCATTTTGCATATAGACTACATATAATGAATACCAAACACCTTGAGTATTGTGATATTGATATGCTATGAATGTAATCGAAATCTTTGGGCAATTATATGATGGGTTCAATGATACATGTGTGTTATTAACATGACGCCGTTTAGAGCGAAAATAAATAATGAAAATATTCTTCACAGAAAAAATGAATGAAGGTTTTGTTTAAAGATACAAGATGACTTTGATTTCGAATTTATTGTTCAAAGATAAAATGATTTTTTGAAGTATTATTCAAATGAATACACTAAAATATATTGTTGAAAGGAACAGTTGATTTTGAGAATAAAGTTTTAAAAATAAATTGATTTTGAAAATATTGTCGAAAGAAACATTGATTTTGAAGGTATTGTTCAAAGAGAAATTAAGAATAAAAAAAATGTTGAAAAACATAACTAAATTTTGAAAATGCCCGAAGAAGAAATGTTTTTAAAGTCTTTTTCAATGCGATCTTAAATTGAAAGTTTGTTCAAATTAAAGACAAAATATCACTTTTACGTTTCTTCACACATAATGCGTGTGCATCTCCCTCTTTCTATATTCATCTACATACACATATTCATAAATATGGAAGTGCCGGTACCTACGCAGGACTAAGTTACATGCTTTAAAGGCCTTGATACAGCCAGTTTTGCTCTATGGAAGCGAAACTTGGTTGCTATCTAGTGCCTTGGAGTCACGTCTCGATGCCCTTTGTAACAAGTCCTTACGCCGGGTCATGGGGTACAGTTGGCAGAACCGTGTGTACAACCGACTCCTCCACCTTGAGACTCGCATGGGACCTGTTACTTGCATAATCCGCGACCGCCAACTCAGGCTATATGGCCACCCTATGACTTCCACCACCACCACCATCGCCACCACCACCACACCACCACCATCCAAACACCACACCATCACCCTCCACCCTCCACCACCTCCATCTTTTCCCGCGTGGAGGAGGCCCGTGAGAAGACCTAAGAAGTCGTGGCGTGGGCATCCGACCAGACTGCGCGAAGAACGAGAGATGAGCCGAGAACGTTGCGGGTCGCCATGAAGGACCCCGTGACTGAAGGCGAAGGGTGGATGCGGCTATGTGTCCCTCGTCGGCGTCAGTTCATTTCATTGATGGTTCATATATATGTCTGTGTGCCTCACATAATGCATACACACAGTCGTTATTATTTAAGTACTACATGATCTTCTCGGTAGCTATGGCTCATTTGCTACAAATGCATCTTATTATAGGTCATTCTAGGGTATCCATCCTTACATATTTTCTTTAATTTCTTCTCAAATAGCATTTGGTCTTTTTTCATTTGTGGAGAAGAAGAGATGTTTAAAGAAAGCAAACTACTGCAATCTCTTTTGTACGTGTTTATTGCAAAAAAATACAGGCGAGTTTTCTTTGGCAACAGAAGCTTATTTACAACTATAAAATGCAGCAAGTTACAATTAAAGGCGGTTAATCAACTATCTATTCAGACCGGAACAGCTTGCAGTTACAGGAATTATTCTGAAGGCAAATTTGGTAGTTTTGCTATTTAAAGCGACCTTAGGTAGTTTTTTTTGACTCAGCTGTTCATTTAACGGTGTATTTTTCTTTAATTTCTATGACTTCTTTATTTTCTTCATCTCATTTCCTCTCTTTCACCTTAAAACTAATGCACTGTTCGGTTACAAGAATTCACCATATTCTTACATCGCTTGTTTCTGGATACAATTTAGTCCGAACTTTCCGTTTCGTTCAAAAAAATTGATTGGGAATACAAGACACTTTATCACGCTCTTGGCACATCTTATATACATTGCGTTGCGTGATATGACAAGAGAACGAGAGAGATAGAATAAAAATAAACACAATGATACCACATAAAAAGGAATTTGAATTAACTATGAACAATAAATACCAAAATCAAACAGCTGTGAACAAGTGTTTCTAAAATTAGAGTTAGTACATTTCAAAGACTGCTGTCGGCCTTTCTCAACATACTAAGATCCCATAATCTTAAGACTATATATATAAGTTCTATCTTATTTTTAAAAATATTTATGATAAATTACAAATTCCTCCATATTACAGACCAAAGTCGAGGAAAAAAATATACCACGGTTGAGACTTTCTTAATGAAAATTGGTAAGATATTTTGTCATGATTTGTTTAGACTGAAAGAGACAAAGAAAATAATTCCATTACTCAAATAAATAAATCACTCAGAATGCTGACTCGAATGCAAAGGGTGAAAAGGGCGGGAAAAGTCGGTGAATCCTCCCATGACGTCATACATACAAGAACGCTCCCGATGCTTACATCTGAGTCTCGATGCCACGGAAACCACAGTCAGCCACAGCTTATTTACATGTTTATCAAAATAACTATATATATATCTACTAGAAATACTCATCTACTATCTATGACGGAGCAACATAAAAGAACAAAATAAAAGGGAACCTATGAGACACATGTAAATGATGATGTATTCACTGGCAAGCCTCTCTTTGAAGAAGCACCGAAAGAAAATTCAGTTTCATTCGGGTTTCACACACACACACACACACACACACACACACACACACACACACACACACACACACACACACACACACACACACACACACACACACACATATGTATATGCATGTATATACACATACATATACGTGTGAAATCCGGTCCAGGATTTTAAATTATAATAGTTATTACAAATTCGCGTTTGTTTTTGAAATTAAGAGGGCGGGGCTCTTTACAAGTGGATGTGATAAGAAAAAGAAAAAAAAATAACAATAATAATAAAACCTTGAATAACAGACAATATCTCCAGACAACAGTCTTTCCCGGCGACCAATCAGAGCGCGGGAATCAAGACCTGCAATAACGGCGCGAGCAATCACAGCGCTGAGCGAGGCTTCATTAACGTGGGAGAACTTCAAGAAATTAAAAAGATAATAAAAGAAATCGAACTGGAGATCTCGCGAAGCAATTACGGATAGAAGAAAAATCACATAAACTCTTTGAATTATGTTCTCTTTTTTAATATCTATATATATATTATATACATATTATCGTACATGCTGAACACCAGTGAAGCGCTGTGTTTACCTTTTTTCTTCTTTAAATCGTTAATTAAGGCACAATATATTAATATACACAGAGTGGGAGTCGAGTCACGTGTTTTTGAATGGATGTCAGAATGGTCGAAATGCAAAAATAAAAAGAAAAGAAAACAATTGCAAGAAACGGAAGCGAGAGAGAGAAAGAGAGAAAGAGAAAGATAAGAAAAAAAAAAGCGGAGACATACAGAGAAACGGAATAAACACACACAAAAACGGGGAAAAAACATACACACACACACACAAAAAAAAAAAAGACAGAAAGACACAGAGAGAGAGAGAGAGAGAGAATGTCACCCATCTCCCCCCACAGAATAGTCCTCCTCTCCCTCTCCCTCTCCTTCCCGGTCAACAACGAGCAGCGGTCAATAACTATAAAAGATCCGAGCGCCAGACTGACCACATCGGCCGGTATTAAGTCTATTGGGACATTAAATGGACATTTCTGACCATTAAATGCTCCCCCGTTTGGCTCGGGTTACTGTTTGCAAGAGGAGACAGAGAGGAAGGGGAGAGAGAGAAAGGGAGAGGGAGGAAAGGGGGAAAGGAGGGAGTGGGGAGAGGAGGGGAGGAGGGGGAAAGGAGAGTGGGGAAGGGAGGGATATAGGGAGAAGGATAGAAGGGGGAGGGAAGAGGGAAGGAGGGAGGGAGAGAGAGAGATAGATAGATAGATAGATAGATAGAGATAGAGAGAGAGAGAGAGAGAGAGAGAGAGAGAGAGAAGAGAGAGAGAGAGAGAGAGAGAGAGAGAGAGAGAGAGAGAGATTGGGAAAAAGGGGGGGGGGCAGAAGGAGAATAGGTGTAGAGAGAGTAAGGGAGAGAGAAAGGCAAAAAGAAGGACAAAAGGGAATGAAAACAAATGCAAGAGTCAAATCGTAAATTCTTTTACTTGATGTTTACTTCCTGAAGGTTATACTGATGAATATAAGCAATGCGATAAAGATGTACGTGTGTAAGTGCATGTGGATGTGAACGTATGTGCACACGTGTGTATACTTCTACATGGATATCTACCCACGTCTATGCGTTTATATATACCTTCCCACACAAGCACAAGCGCGCGCGCGTGTGCCTGTATACCCTCGACCCTAAACACACACACGAACACACAATCCACCTCCCTCCCTCCCTCCCCCACGCTCTCTTCCCCCCCCCACCCCCACCCCCTCACCCCCTCCGCTGCTCCTTTGTTTGCCATGACATCATTAGCCTCACAGAAACACACGCGCCTCCATAACGGCCTCTGTCGCTCCGGGAATATCAATTTACAATTTACAAATCATCAGGCTTCTGAATCCGTAATTGTGAGGTGTGAGGAAGCGGCGGCTGAGGAAGGGGGGGGGAGGGAGGTGTCTGTGAGGTGGTGAGGAGGTGAGGAGGTGAGGAGGAGGAGGAGGAGGAGGAGGAGGAGGAGAGGAGGAGAGGAGGAGAGGAGGAGGAGGAGGAGGAGGAGGAGGAGGAGAGGAGGAGGAGGGGAGGAGGGGGGAGGAGAGGAGGAGGAGAGAAGAGGAGGAAGAAGAGAGGAGGAGGAGGAGGAGGAGGAGGAGGAGAGTGATGAGGATAACCGGGTGCTGGGGTGGTTGTTGTGGTGAGGATGGGGATGGTTATATGGTAATTGGTAAGAGGAGAACAATGTTACTATTTCTACCCATACTCTTAATAGTAATTATGGCATTGATAGCAACTGACTATTAAGATCAAGTGTGATCATAATGCTACTGATAACGGTAGTAATGATAATAACAGTAAGGATGATGATAATAACAACAGTAATGAAAATGATAAAAATGATAATAATATGGAGAAAAGTAATAATAATGATAATAACAATTATAATAGAAATAATGAAAAATAATAATAAGACTAAAAAACATTAATAACAAAAATAATCATGCTATTGACAATAGTGGTAATAGCTATAAGACATAAAAAGAAATAACAATAATTACAAGTAAGAAAATAATGGTAACATTAATAGTCAATCCATCATATTCGAAATGAAAATGCAACAGTGACAATATTGCACGAATAGTCACTATAAAAAAAAACCATGAATATAAAGTAACTTCATACTGTATAAGTGTGACTTACACAGCAGAGTCGAAAAGGGAATTTTATTGGTTACGTCACAACTAGAGGAGGGGGTAGAGGGCGGGGTGGGGGGGTGGGGGTGGTGTTGGGACGTTAAATTGTGGTTAATCTGTTTTTGTTTTTAATTATTTATTCGTGTGTGCATTTAGTATAATCGTGGTTGTTGTAGTAATTATTATTATCTATTCGTGTGTGCATTTAGTATGCTCGTGGTCGTTGTAGTAATGAATTTTTTGGGGGGAGTATGAGGCTGACGATGAGGAGGATTAGGAAAGGGGAAAAAGGTGAAGCGAAAGAAGAAGACAAAGAAAAAAGATGAAGAAATATAATAAAGACAGGAATAAAGAAGAAGAAAAAAGGGGGAATTATCGTGTACATAAAACAACAACAACAAAAAATAATAAATCACTTTTTCGACCTCGTACTTTACTCCCACAAACTTCCACACTGGTTTCAAACGCACAAAAAAAAGTTCAACGACTTCATTTTCCAACGTTCTTCCAGTTCAACGAAAGAGAATGAACATTTTTTTTCCTTCTTCTTCGCTTCCTTTTCCTCCATGTTCTCTCCTACACTGAACAGTCTCAACGAGTGAACACATTCCCGGCAATCTCAATTCTTGAACACATAAGGCTTCTCATTTTTTTTTCTTCTTTTCTCTTTCTCTTCTTTCTTTCCTTATCTTCCTTCCTCCATCTCTCCCTTTATTTTTCTCTTCCTTCCTTCTTCTTCTTCTTTCTTTTTCTCTCCCTCTAATCGTCTCTCCCTTCCATCTTCTCTTTCCATCTCTCTCTCTTCCTTTTTCATCCCCCTCTTCCTCTTCACCACGTGCGAAGTGTCTGCTGGTTGTACGT